AGCCAATCGCTAAGATGAACAAGTTTGTTTGGATGATACTGCCTGTCTATTTGTATATTATTATGAGCTATAATTTAAAGTAGTAGATTCCTGAAGTATATGGAGAGCCAAAACAGATTAGAATGGGAAAAAGGAATAATTAATTCTCGTACAGGTTCATACAGGTAACTAATTGGCCTCCATCTTGGAAAAACAGCCTCACGTCCTTCCCCCCCCACCACCACCACTCTACACACTGGAGCATGCTCAGTACAGTCTTAGGGCTTCCAACAGCAAATAACTCTAAACACATTGGCTACTAGTTGGCAATAAGCATAACAAAAATACCTACAGCATTACTCTCCACCCCTTTAAAAATATTACTAATAATAAACTCAAAACATTAACATTGTAGCTACAAAACAAAACATCCTAACTAAGAGGTTGGGGTAGCCTACCCTAATCGTCCGGCAATTACAAGGGCTTATTCTGCTCTGTGGAATAATTGCCTTACTGCTACAAGTCCACACTGTCTCTAGATTTAGGAGATCTTCTGGAATGGTACAGTGGAAATAACTTTGGCCCTTGATCAATAGCAGGTGCAGAAGGGCTTTCTGATAATGCATCTGTGTCTGGAGGCTTAACTTCCAAGTCCACTGTAGTGGTTGGTACAGGATCCTCACCAATCTCACTATATCTGGTTGTAGCAGTTGAGTAGTCTGAGTCCTTAACACCTGATACCTCAACATCCAAATGAGAATTCTCCACAGATAACCTGTGCTACAATACAATTTGATAACCAGTGAGGGACACTGTGAAAATTAAGAGCACATACTGCGTTACCTACACCTAATGTTCTTCGTGATGCTTATACATCATAATATAACTTGTGTGCTGCCTGCTTTTCCGATGCAGCCGATGAAGTGAGCTGTAGCTCACGAAAGCTTATGCTCAAATAAATTGGTCGGTCTCTAAGGTACCACAAGTCCTCCTTTTCTTTTTGTGAATACAGAGTAACATGGCTGCTACTCTGAAACCTATAACCTTATAGTTCCCTTCAAAGCTCTGTCATATGCATGTCAGTATTTAATGGTTACCATGCTTAAAATGTGATGGAGAAAATCATCTCTCAGGAGCTGTGATTTATTTGGCTTCTGTCTCAAACTAATGACACCTTGTTTAATTGATGTAAAGACTGTATTGTATATATGCTGGATCATACCTGCTTTCTTTGTGGTAAAACCCACCTTTATGGCTTCGCCCATCCCAGCCTCAGACCCGGCCAAGAGCCCTCAGCTGAATTGAAGATCTACACATTGTGTGGGTTGATGGGGACAGGTGCTTAGATAGATCCACCATTTGGGGAATGCACTTAATAGTCTGAGGCTCTGTTAGCTCAAGTGGAGCATTACTTCACTGCAGAACTTTCCTTTCCAGAGGTTCTAGGGCAGTAGGTGTGGGAAGCCCTGGTCACATGGTACTGTTGTAACAGCATTGTTGTAGTTCTGTCTTCACCCCACTCTGGCATAGGCACATGACCTATGAACAGATGGCTCTGACACCCAGCAGTTATTTATCTTTTTATTTTAAAAATATCATAAAATTTAACAATAAGACAAAACAGAGTATCAGTAGATAATTCTTCCCCCCCCCCATGTTCTTCCATTGTCCTACAGAGTACTCCGACAGATTTTCCACCCTTTTGCACATACAGTATGCAGCTGGCAGACATTGATTTAACAGCTCAATATTTTGATGATTGCAGTGATGCAGAAATATGTTTGAAATTTATCAAAACATCACTAAATCCATTTAGTACCTGTTAAAGCATGAAAAGAATTTTATTTTATATAAGGATAGAACTGTTGCCATAGATTTCTCATAAACTATGCATTACAGTTTTGGATCTAAGTGGTTGACTGCAGAGTTCTTATTTTTACTATAATTAAAACCACTAGTGTGGGAGATTCAGCTCAATAGCTGGAGGTATATTTCCATGTTGTTGGCTTTTTTGCTTTTTCTTTAAGGAATAAAGAAAAGTACTTGTGGCACCTTAGAGACTAACTAATTTATTTGAGCATAAGCTTTCGTGAGCTCCAGCTCACTTCATCGGATGCATTCAGTGGAAAATACAGTGGGGAGATTTGTTAGTCTTTAAGGTGCCACAAGTACTTTTTTTTTGCGAATACAGACTAACACGGCTGCTACTCTGAAACCTGTCTTTAAGGAATGTTGTTCCCACAAATGACAATTCTAATTCATTGCAGGATCTCCCTGATAGATCAAACTTCTTTTGCTCAAATACAAGAAACCTAGTTATTACTGAAGTAATTATGGGATGCAGATTATTTCTTAATCTTGCACTCTGATAACAACCCCTCTTTTTTGAATGCCATGGTAGAAGAGTGATATGCAGTAGTTTCACAGCAACTGCACAAACAATTGGGTCAGATTTGTGAAACCTAAATAAAACCACTTTTCTCATGTAAATAAAAAGAAGTTGTCATATGTTTGACTGAAATTAGTATTGAGGTGAAGTAAGGCAAACTCTGACTAGAAATAAGGCATACATTATTAACAGTGAGGGTAATTAATTTTTTTTTTTGTAAAGAGATTCTCTAGTTCAAACAGGAATTAATTCACGGTACTCTGGAGGTCAGACTAGATGATCACAATGGTCCCTTTTGGATTTAGAATATATGAATCTATTCATTTCTATATTGTTATCACCCAAAGGCCCTAATCATGATTGGGGTCCCACTGTGCTGGAGGTGTATAAACACAGAAGTTTGACCCTACCCTGGAGCACTAACAAGCTAAAAAATAGTCTTCCAGTATCATATGAAACACATGCAGTACATGTGTGTTACTGCTGTGTTTACGGTTTTTATTATTCACATTGCTCCAGTCAATTTCCATAGTGTTGGGATGGTGCCAAGAGAGGAATTTTGCAAGAAGTTACAGCAGGACAGGAAGATACGTTCAATTGTAAAAAGTCAGAGGTCCTCAATTAAAATCATTTTTAAAAAAAGTTTGACACTGTATAACCTGTGAATTAATTTATGCATTTTCATTCTCTTTTAAACTTCAACTTTTCATTTAGGAAAACACTTAAGTGTGACTTGGGGTTTCAAAGATAAATTATTCTCCAAATCACAGTCTGCTGTCAAGTTAGTACTTCTGTCAAAAAAATGAGCAGGTATCAAGGCAAACATATTGACACTCCCTTTTTAAGTATGAACAGCTAATGGGTGCAAAAGGTCTGACAGCACTTGGTTGCTGATATTTTTATTATTAATTTAGAAACACTTGATCTTCAAAGTAGAAGTTATTTATATAAAACAATGTACTTGAAGCAAGGCTCGGGTACAGTACATTTTCATATTATGTAAAATAATGCATGGAGCATATGCTCGAAGCTTAGTATGGGTTCTTATTTAATCAAAAGTGAAGAATAATTTTCCACAGGTAAGAATTATATTTCCTCCTATGTCCATGTTACCGGTGTTTGACTGAACTGGAATTGCGTAAGCTCAAAGTTCTTGCCTTCTCCCCACATTAGGATTCCAATCACTAAGAGACCCCTCTGCCATGTCCAGGAAGTGATGAGACAGTACCATGGAGACAGCTGGCTTCTCCATGCCTTTCTATACAGGCAGGGTCAGCTACACAAACAGAGGGTCCTTTCTGTAACCAGATTGCCTTGGGATATCCTACGCCTCATTTTGTACCTCATCCTCCCTCAGGCAATATCCCACTAAAGAACAGATGAAATTTCTGAAATAAGTGCATGTCATTACTGCAATATGCATTGCTGGATCCCAGTACAAATGTAGCTCCATCTGGTTGGGGCCTTCTTCAGACAGTCTGTTTTAAAGGTTAGGAGGCTTTCAGGCAGTTGATTCAGGGCAATATCCTGCAAAGGGGTAGCCAGAGAGCTGACCTGAGTGTCATTCATTTATAAGAGAACTAGTTCCCTTGGACCACTTGGGCATGGCTAAGTTAGGAACTGTAACCATGACCTGATGCTGCAATGGGATTGGTTAGCATGAACCCACCGCAGAATCAGGGCTTTACGGTAAATGGAACATATGTAATTTTTCACCAATTAGTTTGAAAAATGTGTACAGAGAGCATTTAGCATGACTTCTCCTTTCTGTGTTAGATTGTAGCAGTGAGTCATTAATATTAATAGGAGGGAAACATTCAGAATGAGGAGAATAGACCTGTGCCTTGGCAATAAAACTGCACTTTCATTCATCATTTTGCCTCAGTTTTTAATGTTTATTTTTTCTGAAGACTTGTTTTTTCCCTTTTTTCCCTTCCAAATTACACAAAGTTATCTTAAGTTGGCTACTGTTACCTTACCTTACCCGGCTTTTCTTTAAACATTCTGTTGATCTGGCATTTCTGCCAGTGTGGCCTAATAACACTGGTTGGACATTAAGAATTGTGGAGAGAGATTCTGTGCAAGCTGCCTCCAGAACACATCAGCATCCTTGTTGTTCCAATGGTAGGCCTTTTTTAAAGGAGCAGTGACTGTCATTCATGCTAAATTGTCATGGCTTTGTGGTGCAAACCAGTGACCCTCATGAACAAGGATGAGACCATGATACATTTCTTTTGTGACCCCATGCCCCCTAAGTTTCCAGAAAGTAGAAGTCTCATTGTGCTATCCAGCGTCTTTGCTGGAAGTTCATCACTTATTGATCACTGATCCAAATTACATCATGAAATAGGTACCCGGGGAGTGTCAGAGCTGTGAGGGCTGAACAAAAGGCATACTTTACAATACAAGTAGGAAATAAAATATTTTAATCATCAAGTAGTTTTTGAATGGCAAATGTGTTCTATGCAAAAATAGAAATGCTGATTAAGCCGAGATGAAAGCTTTGTGGTAAGAAACTGAATAAATGTCTGAAAGTTTTTGAAGCTTTAATGTATGTTCTTATTGAGAATAATGACTCATTCAGCTTAGTTTCCATCTTTTCCAATCCCACCTTTCCTCACTCCTTTTGCAGATAAACAAGCTGGAGGCTCGCCTGAGGCAGGAAGGTTGCATGGATGATGATGGGATTCAGCGTAAGGAAAATGAACACTGGATGAAGGAAGACTGCATTAGCTGTAGCTGTAAGGTATGCATTGCTGAACGTTCCCTCTGCTATCAAGTTCTCTTTTTCCTTTGGTATCATGCCAGCTGAAGCATCCTGCAATGATGAATTAAGGAAGAAAAGTGTGCCTCACAACTGTCCGTAGCTTAATGATAATAGGGAACATAAGTCTTCTGGAGAAATTCAGTGAACATTTGCCATAACTAGAGCTAAACGAAAGGAGAAAATATTTCAGATTGAGTCTAATGTGCACCTCGTCTTAAATTCAAAATGTGCATACCAAAGAAGAAATCTGATATTAGTGATACCATTTTGCAGTAACTTAGCTCTGATACTGAATAAGTGGAAATCACTTACAGAAGAAGTGAGGTAGCTTTAATTGGGTTCTCTCTTTTTGTGAGTGCTAAATTCACTTTTTCACAAATAGGCACACCAACAGGTAGGCTATTTCCTTGATGTATAGATTAGTTTATTTAACACAAACAGTTCCATGTCATTCTGAATCAAATTCAGTTCTCCTCATTCTTCCACCTGAAAAACAGGTGAGTTTTGGCTACACAAAAGGGCTCCCAGCAATTTGGTAGGTCTTTGATGTATGGTCCAGCAACAGCCACCATCAATTTCCTGTCCATGGATGGCATCACTTCTGCCACCCTCAGAGAAATGCTTAATTCCCCACTCATCATCTTTCTTTACTTCAGACTCTTTAGATGTGCCATTGATGTGCACATAATGCTTCCATGTGCTCAAATCTACAATTGGCATAAGGCCTACATTCCATTTAAGAGTCACTTACTCCCTCAAGACAAGGCTGAAGATGTACACATGTATTTTTGCAGGTCCTCTACATAAGAAGATTTAAGTGGGATTCATAGTGTCTATGTACAACATGGGCCATCTGCAGAGGGTTTAATTTCACTCCATACATATATGCAAAACTTCAACTCCTAAATCCTTGTGTATTGATTTTTTTTGTATCTAATGATTCCAGCTGATAGGCCTTGATCCCGCAAAAGACTTACACGCAGAAGTGAATGGACTTTTCATCTCAATTTCATTTCATCTCAATTGGACTACTGCATAAATTGATAAGTCTTTGCGGGATTGGGGGTATCATTTTTTCCTGGACTTTATCTAACCCATGGGAGTTAGGTGCTTCACCTGCTTAGGTGTTTTTGAAAATCCCAGTAGGCAACTCTCCGCATCTTTAGGCACCAAGTACCTTTGAATGTCTGGCCCAAGATCTAATATTGACTTGAATATAACCTATATAGATAAATGCTTTCTTTGATACGAGTTAGAACTCCTCAATAATTTTTTGGGTGTGAGCATTCTAATTAACCTCAGAAACCTGTCAAATCGGTCTTACAACTAGGAAAATGATCACTTATTTGTGTGCATAAGTACACCATCTCATTTTATACACGTCTGCATGACAGAGACCGTCTGCATTCTTTCAGCTCTTGTATTTAATATGACGCGCTGGAAAATTGTAAAAAAATATTGAGATTGTGCCATCCTGGTTTTTTCTTTTGGGGGAAAAAAAGGTGCTAATGCTTAAACATTACCTTTCAGAATGGCCAAATAACCTGTACTGTGGAGACGTGTTCTTCAGTAGAGTGTTCGAGCCCCACAAAGCTGGAAGGAAAATGCTGTCCAGACTGCATAGACAATGAAAACCCTATAGAATCACCAGTAGAGCTTAAACCTGATTCCTCTGACAAAGAGCTACCTTTTGGAACTATCTACTAAGTGGATGTAGCTTCCCAATTCAAAGGTTCTGCCAAGAAGTTACAAGCACTGCTGACTACAATACCTGCACTAAAATGTTTGATGTAAATACACTGATGAAACAATCAAGTCACTTTAGGCTTTTCACCATGGTGGATATATTCTATACTGTTATCTTTCAACATTGGTAGATCTAATGTAAAGGTGAGCAAGGGCATGAAAGACTCTACTGAAAGCCCTTTACAGGTTATTATATGTTGTACTGTGCCATTGGAAGTTGTTAAATATTAGATTCATAAGTTCAATTTTAAATGTGTTGTTTTCCTTCTCCCAAAAGGCAGGGAGGATAAAGATTTAAAAGCATGGGATTTCTCTGAATCTTAGAATTCAACCACTGACTGAAAGTTTTCTTTTAAAATTCATACACATTGTAGTAATGAGAAATGTTTTAAAAATTGCACTGTTCTAAAGAAAAGTTATAGAATAGAAAAGAAGTTTGTACCTGACCTGCTGGATTTTTGTTGTTGTTGTTGTTGGATGGTGTTATACTATGAGAAACAGTTTGGTTTCCTTTTACAAGACTATATTCTAATTCCATGCTAGCTTTACGGAGCTTGGGTTTTCGCAAAATCAGAATGAAAGAGTAGTGTAGCACGATTCTTTGCAATCTCATCATGTTGAGACTCTGATTAGAAATTTAAAGCACATCTCAGGGAGATGTCTCCAAAAGGGGATAAAGAATGTATAAGTGCAGTATAATTTGCCAGGAAGTTGTGTACTCCTTTTCTCATTCTGCATGGATCTCTCATTGGCATCAATAGGATTTATAGAAAGAGAGAGAGAATGGACTCATCTGTTCAACTTGCCCACATGTAGAACATTATGGCAAATCCCTTAGCCTTGTGATATTGTGATCATTCACATGAAAGAGATGAGTTGTTTTTTTCAAGCTACAAGTTTTAAAATAAGGGGACAGATTTTCAAAACCTAGGTCCAAAGTTGAACCTTCAAAAATGCATGCACACAAATGTTCATTTTCATGTGCAATTAGCTGACTTAGATGGAAAAGCAGAATTTGGACATGCATATTTACTTGTATGTGTACATTTTTTGCAGACACTACTTAGAACTAGGGCTGTCAAGCAATTACAAAAATTAATCACGATTAATCTCCCTGTTAAACAATAATAGAATACCATTTATTTAAATATTTTGGATGTTTTCTACATTTTCAAAAATATTGATTTCAATTACGACACAGAACACAAACTGTAAACTACAGCTCACTTTACATTTATTTTTATTACAAATATTTGTGCTATAAAAACAAAAGAAAGTGTTTTTCAACTCACCTCATACAAGTACTTTATCATGAAAGTTGAACTTACAAATGTAGAATTATGTACAAAAAATAATTGCATTCAAAAATAAAACAATGTAAAACTTCAGAGCTTACAAGTCCTACTTCTTGTTCAGTCAGTCACTCAGACAAACAAGTTTGTTTACATTTGCAGCAGATAAGACTGCCTGCTTCTTATTTACAATGTCACCTGAAAGTGAGAGCAGGTGTTCGCATGGCACTGTTGTAGCCGACATCACAAGATATTTGCGTGCCAGATGCGCTAAAGATTCATACGTCTCTTCATGCTTCAACCACCATTCCAGAGGACATGTGTCCATACTGATGACGGGTTTTGCTCGATAACAATCCAAAGCAGTGTGGACCGACGCATGTTCATTTTCATCATCTGAGTCAGATGCCACCAGCAGAAGGTTGGTTTTCTTTTTTGGTGGTTCGGGTTCTGTAGTTTCCTCATTGGAGTGTTGCTCCTTTAAGACTTCTGAAAGCATGCTCCACAGCTCATCCCTCTCAGATTTTGGAAGGCACTTCAGATTCTTAAACCTTGGGTCAAGTGCTGTAGCTATCTTTAGAAATCTCACTTTGGAACCTTCTTTGCATTTTGTGAAATCTGCAGTGAAAGTGTTCTTAAAATGAACATGTGCTGGGTCATCATCTGAAATATGAAATATATGGCAGAATGTAGATAAAACAGAGCAGGGGACATACAGTTCTCCCCCCAGGAGTTCAGTCACAAATTTAATTAATGCATATTTCAAAATAGAAAAATATCCAAAAATATTTAATGCATTTCAATTGGTGTTCTATTGTTTAACAGTGCAATTAAAACTGTGATTAATTGTGATTAATTTTTTTTCGTTAATCACGTGAGTTTACTGCAATTAATCGATAGCCTTACTTAGAACCTGATTCTGCTTTGGAACTTTGTCTTGAAAAGTTAAAAATTCTAATAGGGAGATCACTGTGCTGCACTTACCCTTTAAATTTATAAAATCTGTGCTTCCCTCCTATTTCATTCCATAGTTATCTTCTTTGTCATTGTCTGTTTACTGACAATAGGCCATTTCATAATGTCATTTATGGAGTTTCTCACATAACTGACATAATGATATTGAAACTACATTCTCAAATGCTGGGTCATTAGCATAGTTTCACAAACTATATTTATAGATGATTAGTTCTAAGGGACATCTGATTTTATAGGGCCAACAAAAGTCTAGAAACAAGGTATTTTAAAATCCGGACTCGTGTACATTTTCCATTGCAAAGAAGATACTGAAATCCGAATCGAAAGAAAAACATCTCTCCAGTGAAGGAAATTATCTTTCTGACAAACCATGCTCAGAACTTTCTGTTGAAAACAATGTGAAAATCTGTATAAAAACGGAGTAGGGCAGAGCCCAGTCATTCTTGTTTTGGGTTACATTTGACCTCGGACGCACAGATAAGTACAATATTTTATAAAATCAGTAAGTGCTGTAGATTTTACAAGATCACACGGACCTTAAAATCTGGATTAAACGTTGACAATTTACATCCTTATTCTAGACATCACTTATAAAGCCACATATACGTTAATTTTGTATTCTACTGAGATACACAGAGTATTTGACCAATATTCCCTAATCCACTCCAGTCTCTTAATTCTGTTACATCATTGTTATAGGGCTACTGCATCAAAGTTCACAGCTAAGTAAAACCCCTTCATAATAATGATATTTTAAAAAACTATGTTTCACCAACCTTCAGAAATCTTAACTCCCAACTACTATAAAGTGGTTCTATAAGGAGAGTAGAGTATATTTCAGTCAGTGAGTTATGAAAAGTATGTTTATTAATATAATTATTTTGTAAGTTACATTTTTAATTGAGCTGAAAATAGTATCAGCTTCATTTATGAAAGATGCTTTCTATAGTCATAAGAATCCTTACCTGATAGAGAGTGAAATTTACTCCTGTGCACCACTTAAGCCTGAGTTTGAGTGGAATGTAAGTGGTACATATGCCTTGTGCTAGCTATCTGCACAGAGTGAATTTCACTTATAAAAAAAAAAAGTACAAGATAGTTTTCCTCAAAATGTATCAGTTCTCCATATTATGCCATGGAAGTCCAGAGGAACTAATGGTGGGGAATTTTCAGTAGTTGGTCTTGCATATACAATTAATAGAAATGGGGCTTACATGTGAACAAATACATAGTTATATACAAGGACCTGTCTTAATCAATATCTTCTGTGCACCTTTGTTGATATCCAGTGAGGAGCCTGGACAAGAGTTACTGTCTGACAATTTGGTTGATCAACCAAATATTGCATATCCAGACTGACATGAAAATGTAATCACACACAAATAGTCAACCTGTGCATCGTAAAAGAAGCACCGGGGAACAAATTGAAAGCTGCTTTGAAAATGTTTAAAATTACTGCGCAACATAATTCTTTAGATATTACAAGCAATAGTTACAAACATTAATGTAATGCAATTTATAATTTGGTATTGAAGTTGATACCTGTACAATAGCATTTGTATATTAGATTTCAACATTATATATTCAGATATAACCATGAATGGTGTGAAGTCTTAAAATAATATTCAGAAGACTCATAAACTATGTATTTTGAAAGTCCTTGAAAAAAGCAATACTAAAATTTCAGTCACAGTGAAATGTGTTTTGTCCTATAAATTGCTCCCACCATGCTAATAAGGTAAAACATATTTATTGTGTAGCTTGCACTCAGAATTTTAGCTTGAAGTTTGTAATTAATTTTCATTATTGAAAGCCATATACAAGTCTATATCACAGCTGAAATTTTAGGACAAACTTAACGTTTAAATACAAGCTCTGTAAGCAAAGTCTATAGTAAAATTTATGTATGACATATTTGTACCTCATGAATATATAAAACCAGGGATGTTTTTAAATACATATGGTGCTAAATGCTGTGCCTGAAATATGACTTCATAGAGTATATTTTCCAAAATAATCTGTTTACTTGTGTTTTAAGCATTCAGGCTGGATTTAGAAGTATGTTAAAACATGGCATCTACATTATGTCATTCCTGCAATAAAAGCTTATTACTGAGATTGGAGATGGAGGAAATGCAAAAGGTGAATTCAAGGTTCAGGTATGGGTCCTACTGTTTGGGTTCTTCTATGAACTATTGTAATCTAAGACCTGATCCAGACCTCTGTGACAGCAGTAGGAGCCTGATTCAGCTGTCACTTCCACAGGGAAAAAGCAGCTCCACTGAAGCCAATGGAGTTACCCTGGTGTACGTGAGAAGAAATTGCAGACGCTGATTTCAAGGGGAATTGGATCGTGGCAATAGTGAATCTGCAAAAAGAAAAGCCTTACTGTGGTTTTGCCGCTGCAAGGCACTGATAGCAGATGTGAATGGCAGGACAGGGAGCATCCAGTCATATCTGAACCTCAAAATTAATTTGGTTCTTGATCCTACAAATGCAGGGAGCTGGAGTTATTGTATTCAGACCAATTCACCCATCTCTCAACTGAGATGCTGAATTGAGATAATGTTGCCTGTGAATGGGTAAGATTTGTGTTTGAGATCCTAGAGATGGCTTTTTGAGATTACAGATTTCACAACAGGTATGAAAATCTTGGCAAAAAACAGAAAAAAGGACTTGGATCACAAAGTGATTGAAAAACATTGCTACGCTATTTTTGTGTCTTATTGCAAGTGCTGCACTGAAATAAGGTGCTATTTTATTATGAGTAAATTTATACTGAGGCCATTTAAAGATACTTATTATTGTAAATGTTCTCCAATGCAATAAAAAGTACTTTCAAACTCTTATGTATAAAATGCTATAATGTAATTAAATTTGAGAAAGAGGCAGCAAAGTATTATGCATTATATACTTTATAGTGTTGCTCTTTTCTAAGTGGTAAGAAAACACTTTTTTGTGGATTTCTTCTTTCCCTTTATTTCAAAGTATTGAATTTGTTTGTAACTTTTCATAACTTAAGTCACAAGAATGTATCTACATAATTGATGTAAGATGTCTGGAGGGGGTGGCTTTCTTGTTGTTTGTTTTGATTACATTTTGCAGGAAAACCCTGAAAAAGATCTCTGTATTTGGGTGAAATTTTCAATTAAAAGAAGCATATGCACATCCAGCATTTGATGTTGACCAATGTGGGCTTTGAAATGTTTCCAAAAGTAAGTGCTCAACTTTAAGCATGTGCTTAAATAGAATAGAACATAATTTGCTGAATAGAGATTCTGTCCTGAACTGAGGCCTATCCCAGAAATGAATTTGGACTAAAAGGGCTACTCACGTAAGAAGGAGCAATATTTTTTGCTTTGCAAATATATTTCCAAAAGATACATGAAAACTACTGACAATGCACTCCAAGATTATGAACCCAGTACATTCACAAGACCAGAATAAAATCATATTTTTATATTGATTATTTTGTTTGCAATATGTATGGTGATGTATGTTTCTGCTATAGTCTCTGAGCCTACTCCCACAAACAGGAAAGCTGCAATTTGACTTCAATAGACGTAGGATCAAACCCACAAACCACTCACTTAGAGCAACATCTGAAAGTTGATGTGAGATATTATGCCACAAGGTGGACTCATAGGGGCAATGAAAAGGCTTTTAAAACTTTTAGAGACTAGATGACTTAGAGCCATCATAGGGCTTCCAATTTCTTTGCAACCTATTCCATTCAGACCAAGTTGATACTGAACTAAAGTAATTACTGTCACATGACTGTTCAAAGGTCTGTGAAATAAGTTTTGGTCTCACTCAAAATCCCAATGGGGAAATGTTGAATAATCATAGAATCATAGAATATCAGGGTTGGAAGGGACCTCAGGAGGTCATCTAGTCCAACCCCCTGCTCAAAGCAGGACCAATCCCCAACTAAATCATCCCAGACAGGGCTTTGTCAAACCTGACCTTAAAAACTTCTAAGGAAGGAGATTCCACCACCTCCCTAGGTAACGCATTCCAGTGTTTCACCACCCTCCTAGTGAAAAAGTTTTTCCTAATATCCAACCTAAACCTCCCCCACTACAACTTGAGACCATTACTCCTTGTTCTGTCATCTGCTACCACCGAGAACAGTCTAGATCCATCCTCTTTGGAACCTCCTTTCAGGTAGTTGAAAGCTGCTATCAAATCCCCCCTCATTCTTCTCTTCCGTAGACTAAACAATCCTAGTTCCCTCAGCCTCCCCTCATAAGCCATGTGTTCCAGTCCCCTAATCATTTTTGTTGCCCTCTGCTGGATGTTTTCCAATTTTTCCACATCCTTCTTGTAGTGTGGGGCCCAAACTGGACACAGTACTCCAGATGAGGCCTCACCAATGTCGAATAGAGGGGAACGTTCATGTCCCTTGATCTGCTGGCAGTGCCCCTACTTATACAGCCCAACAAGCCATTGGCAATTCTTGGCAACAAGGGCACACTGTTGACTCATATCCAGCTTCTCATCCACTGGAACCCCTAGGTCCTTTTCTGCAGAACTGCTACCTAGCCATTCGGTCCCTAGTCTGTAGCGGTGCATGGGATTCTTCCATCCTAAGTGCAGGACTGTGCACTTGTCCTTGTTGAACCTCATCAGATTTCTTTTGGCCCAATTCTTTAATTTGTCTAGGGCCTTCTGTATCCTATCCCTACCCTCCAACATATCTACCTCTCCTCCCAGTTTAGTGCCATCTGCAAACTTGCTGAAGGTGCGATCCAAACCATCACCCAGATCATTAATGAAGATATTGAACAAAACCGGCCCCAGGACTGACCCTTGGGGCAATCCACTTGGTACCAGCTGCCAACTAGACATGGAGCCATTGATCACTACCCGTTGAGCCCGACAGTCTAGCCAGCTTTCTATCCACCGTATTGTCCATTCATACAGCCCATACTTCTTTAACTTACTGGCAAGAATACTGTGGGAGACCATGTCAAAAGCTTTGCTAAAGTCAAGGAATAATATGTCCACTGCTTTCCCCTCATCCACAGAGCCAGTTATCTTGTCATAGAAGGCAATTAGATGAGTCAGGCATGACTTGCCCTTGGTGAATCCATGCTGACTGTTCCTGATCACCTTCCTCTCCTCTAAGTGCTTCAGAATTGATTCCTTGAGGACCTGCTCCATGATTTTTCCAGGGACTGACATGAGGCTGACTAGCCTGTAGTTCCCAGGATCCTCCTTCTTCCCTTTTTTAAAGACGGGCACTACATTAGCCTTTTTCCAGTCGTCCGGGACCTCCCCCAATTGCCATGAGTTTTCAAAGATAATGGCCAATGGCTCTGCAGTCACATCTGCCAACTCCTTTAGCACTCTCAGATGCAGCGCATCTGGCCCCATGGACTTGTGCTCATCCAGCTTTTCTGAATAGTCCCGAACCGCTTATTTCTTCACAGAGGGCTGGTCACCTCCTCCCCATGCTGTGTTGCCCAGTGCAGTAGTCTGGGAGCCGACCCTGTTCGTGAAGACAGAAGCAGAAAAAGAATTGAGTACCTTAGCTTTTTCCACAATACAAAAACCAACACCATAGTTGACATTAATTGGCATCCTTTTTGACAGTCTCTGCAGAGTCGAAGATGTAATGGGTATGAAGGCTAAACTACTCTCATTTCCTAGAAAATGATCCTTCCAGAACAGAGGACAAGCGCATTGACAAGGCAGTCTGGGCTAGCTTGTTCTGAATGAGCACATGTTACTGTGTATGTGTGTTCTGTGAATACAGATAAGACTTCAATTCCCAGGACAGTTTGCCATCTCTCACAAGTAATATGTTTCCTTATCTAACTCCTGGGTACCTGGCTGGTGAATCTTGCCCATATGCTCAGGGTTTAGCTGATTGCCATATTTGGGGTCAGGAAGGAATTTTCCTCCAGGGCAGATTCGAGGAGGCCCTGGAGGTTTTTCGCCTTCCTCTGTAGCATGGGGCATGGTTCACTTGCTGGAGAATTCTCTGCTCCTTGAAGTCTTTAAACCATGATTTGAGGACTTCAATAGCTCAGACATAGGTGAGAGGTTTTTCGCAGGAGTGGGTGGGTGGGATTCTGTGGCCTGCGTTGTGCAGGAGATCAGACTACATGATCATAACGTTATATGCTTCTGACCTTAGTATATATGAATCTATGGACTTTTCTGTTTAGTTTTTCATTCCTATATGTTTTTTCACTCTATAGAAAGAAGTCCCAGTTTTATTATCTCGCAAGATATTACTTTATTTATCATGAGAAAAAGGATAAAGATATTACTCCACAGTTTGTAGGTCAGTATATTGATAATACAGCCCCAATGATGCAAATATTCTTCATAGTTCAGGTGGCGATAAATATATCTTCCTAATGTATTATTTGTGTCATGGAAACATTGTTCCTGGCTCAGTGAGTAGCACTAATATTTGCATATGGCGTATGTATACTAGACAAAATACAGGATTCTAGTTTATTTTTTTTATTTTAGTTGTGTGTGCATAGAATATAAAATATCTACTTGTGCAACTGCAAGTTATATATATTTTGTTCCCCTGAAAGATTGGTAACAGAGTTAATGGAAAAAGCATAAACCCTGAAAAATGTACTTGCATATAAATATACACTCACATTGACAATCCTGGAGGAAATAACACAGATAGTCTTAGACAATAAAAATAGAATTTAATCATAATTACAGAGTTAACACAGATTTCTACTCAACTCTTCAGGAAAAAAATATAGGAAATATTTGCAGAGTTTTATGAGAAACAATATACTTTTTGCAAAACAGTCATGCAGTAGAAGCATTTAAAGTAAATAAAATAAGCATAGCTCCTTGCGGTGGAGAAAATGGAAATGTATTCAACTGACTCATTTACACATAGGAATATGCTTGGGCAAATAAAAATATTAGAAAATGTCTCAGGTTCAGGCCGAACCAAAAAGGGCTTTCTCAACCTCAATTTCCTCCCAGTACAAGACATTTGGGCTGCAAGTCTCTTCCTGCAAATACTGCAGGCAGTTCTGAATTGACTAGGGAGTTGGATCATGCCCCTTCCACTCTCATAACAGATTCCTTGTCTCCTCCAGTGCAAACAGGATGGCAGTTAAACCCTTCTATACTATGCAGTCCTGGCTGTTACAGCTTATTTTGGATCAGCAAAATCCAGTGGTCTCCACTTTCTCCCCATCTCTTACAGTATCAAAATTTCTGGGGTTCTCATCCCCAGGTTGGATCACCCACTGAGCTACTCTTCATTTTTTCCCCAGGTGCTGCATCTGTGGGGAGAGGATCGTAACAGGTGAACTCTGCCCACAATTGCCCCCAACTCCTCACTCTGTTGAGGAAATGGCTGAGAGTCTGGACAGCTAGCTAGAGACTCTCTTCAAGCACTAGCCAAGAAGCCTCCATTACAAAGTTAGGTTAATCTTCCTCGGCTCCTGTGACTCAGCAAACCAAGGACTCATCAGGTGTTAAATACCAAAATCCCTCCAAACACTCTGTTCCAATCCATCTCTAATGGTAAAAGTTGTCCCAGATTTTAAATTGAGCCACATGTCAAGGAATCTGGCATCCCATCTGACACTCCTTCTCAAGAGGAAGATCTGGGATCTCTGAGATATTCCTCTCCTTTTCTTCTCCAGTTATATGTGCGGTGATAAGGTGCTCTAGAGAAAGATGATCTATGAGCAAACACCAGACCAGAAAATAGACCAGTCCCCAACAGGGAGCACTACCCTTTCTCAGTAGAGCCGAAGCAAATGAAACAAGACCTAAAACAAAGGAGAAAAGCCAAAAAGCACCTCAGATCCAGATCTCCTTCCACAGACTCTAGCTCCTCCAGAGAGGAGAACACTTGAGTTCAAATCATAACTCTAAGCCACGGAATCAGGAGGAATTTTTTCGACCAGAATTGTTTGAAACCCTGAAGAGGAAGATGGTAGCTGTTCTAGAGATCCAGCCAGAGAAAAAGGATGAACAGGTTAAGGCCAAGATTAAGTCTTCCAATCAAAACTAAAATGAAATTCCACATTCCCTCTTCATTCTTCCTTCAAAGTGGTTATAGTAGAGCTGGTCAATATTTTTGTGAAAAAGTGACCTGTTTTTCAAAAAATGAAATTTTAGCAAAAAAAACCCCCAAACCTTTTTCAAATTTTCCTTTTTTGACAACTCACCCCAATACCCTGCCCCCTTTTATTTCCCTCTTTCTCCCTTTTTAGTGGCAAAGGTGTTTGAGGGAGGAAAGGAAGATCTACAAAAGTGAAAATTTTTCAGCATCAAAAAGTTTGTTTTTTAAAAAAATGTCACTCTGGCAATTTTAACAAGGATAAACCCCGGTGAAGAGAAACTATTCGCAAAGATCCTGCAGACAGGGAAATACAAGTGACTATTTAGTGCCTCTTCAGCAGCCTTAGGCCCCATTTCAG